CAGCAGTGGAAAAGAACAGATTTGGCCCACTGTCTCTTAACTTATGCACATCTGGAGGGTACATTCATCCATTCTTTACTATGAGACACCTGCTAACTAAAAGCCAGAAGTTCAATTATATTCCCAAAGCCATAGGTGTCACAAGCAAGCAGTCTTCTGGTCAAGTTGAACACATACATCAGTTTTGCTCTCGTATTTTATTCACACCACCTTACCATGAATCTTTCCCCAGGGACAAATAGTCAGTGTAATTCCATCTGCCCTATTTCTTTGTTTCCAAAGATTACTCACAGGGTTTGGATTCTAGATATAAGAAGATATCCAGAGGTATTTGGGTTGGTTCTGTTGCTCACTGATTAATAGCATTTTTGGCAAATTCACACTAACAGCCAAAAGATACAACACCAGCAAAAAAGGCAGAGCAGATAACTAGATGCATTCCCATTACCCAGATCACAGACTATACCTTTATTAATTCTATTTACAAACTTTTACATCTAGATCTGCTTTTAGACACACACTCTGACTCCGGATTACACTCTTCCACTCGGAAAAAATATAAATGAAATATGGTAAAAAAATTAAGATGACATAAAATGAAATGTTTTATGCTGTCAAAACAGATTCTTTTTGACACATCTGATAGTTTCATGTAATATTTGAATTTTTTTTTATATCTGATTTGGAATTTTAAAGAGAAATTTAAAAATCAAGCTACAAGATATGCAAAATGCCTCCCCATCACATAATATTGAAATTAGATTCTGGAATGAACATGGAAAAGCCCTCACCAGGTAACATTTAATTTTGACTTGAGAAACACTGGAAAACGGATACCTAGTCCTGCATAGAAGCACATTTCAACTCAGGTGCTATGTCCACACATGGCTCAGGGGGAAAAACCCCAATGAGATTATGCGCTTGCTAGCTCGTGGAGCAAAACTTCACTGTATCTCAAACTCCTAGTCAAAGTAATAGGATGGGACCAGGTTCATTAGAAGTAAAAGCCAGCAGCAAACTATTACGGAAGGGAACAAAGAGTAAGGAATCTTCTTTCTGTCTTTCAGAATGGTGCACTTCTATGCTTTATCTCTTCTTATGCTGGTATGCCTAACAGTAAAATCTAGCACAGTAATTATCCCCATACAGTCTGAACAGTTTAAGATTATGCTCACTACACAACTAGAATGTCAAAATACTTCTGCATTTGTAATTAAAATTCTCAAAACTTAAAATACAAGTGTATTGACATGTATTCACAGACAGATTTCAGACATCTCTGATAATAATTTAGAGCAGCTATCCCTAAAGAATTAACAGTGTGCAGCCTGATTTTAATGCTGAGTGGAAGATAAAAAACAAAAACAGAAAGAAAAACAAAAAAACTGTATTTTCTCAGCCTGGAAAAAACATGAATACCCAATTGGACCAAAAACTCTAAGTCAAGAGTGTTTGTAAAATAGGAAAGCGTTTAAGACAATCTATCGCTTAGTCCTGAGAATAATTTTGATCAAATGTATTTTATCAACAAGAATTAACACAATCTTACAATAAATATATTTTAAATAATATATTAACTTTCACACTCAAAATAAGCTTCATATACTATGATTATTAAAAAAACAAGACATAAGAGCAATTCCAGCCAAAGCAGTTTATACTATAGAATAGGTAGCAAGAGATTCACTCAGAGGCCAAGGATTTTAATCTGTTCTTGTTATTTTGCAGAGTTTGGGAGCACAAAGTATCCGTTGTGATGCTGAGGTAATGAGATGTGAGACACAGTCCTTCCTCCTCCACCCGCGCCCTCACTCATCCAAGTTTCAGCCATACTTAGTGTTCAGATTTGTCTAAAACTGAACTGTATCCAAACTAAATGATTATGGGCTTCCTTCCAGTCCAGCTTCCTCTCAACCTAGGAAGAGGGGCTTATCTTTGGAAGCAAAGGTAGAATCTATGGAGGCAATTGGACTGCTCTGCCCCTCTCCCCTCACTTTTTGATCAGCGAAGGAATAGATGGGTTTAAAAATGATAGTATGAAGTTTAAAAAATGCTGTGAAGTACTTACAGATGGAATAAGGCAAAAGCATTATAGTGAGGAGAAAAAGATAAATCTCATTTCCAGACGGCTCAGCATAGTGCAAGTCAAACGCACCAAATTTTCATCCTTATCTCAGTACTATCTAGCTGTCTTCTGAATTTCAGATTTCTACACATAATTTCTCCATCTTTGTTTTCATCCTTGCATCATAAGACCTCCTCAAACTGCCAGTCAAAGCTTCTTCTGGACTCCATCCAGGTCTCAATTACTGCAGGAAACACTTCTATCCCTAGGTGGCTGTCACTGAGCTACTTTTTAAGTGCTGTTTACCCAGTGGGGTAAGTCTCCCCGTTTGCTATGAGGATACAAAAAATTGTGCGATTTTAAGCCATACCTTTCAGCCTGAAGATGTACATGGAGCAATACTAAGCATGCAGTAGCAAATATTGTGTTGCTGGACTTGGTAAACAGTTTTGTTGATGCTTGCATATGGCCACAACTCTTAACTATGTTCCATTTGCAGAAGGTTTGGGATTTTTTTGATTTTTTTTTTTTTTTTTGAATTTAAGACGGCAGTTGTCATAATGCCTCTCCACAAAGAGATTAGATCTAGGCTCTATACGCTGAACTGACAACTTAAATAAATCAACATATCTATCTTCACTTGCAAAGAATCAAACATGGAAGACCATCAGAGAGATCATTAAAAAAAAGTCCAAGATGAAGACCAGTCTTTCGACCAGCTTCCCATTACAACTGTATACACTAAAAATTTAACTGATGAATTTGAAGACAGACTAATGCAACATACTCTGGTAATTGATGCATTTTTCTCAGAGACAAAGTCTAACAGTTGGAGTCTTCTAATGATTCCCAGACAGGAATGAAAAGCTATTTGTAAACATACATAATTCCTAGAGTCTGTACGTACGGTGATCTTCAAATGTGGAATTCTGTCTTTCTTCAAAAACCATCATTAAAAAAGCATTATTTTTAACATCAGTAAAACATAATGCCCTCTGCCCTACATTAATAGAAAACTAACCTTAGGCTGCAAGTCAAAGCAAATGAATTTGTTGCTATATTTGTTGGCTGTACAAGTCAACAAAATTTTTCAAACTTTTTTCCATCTCATACCTCCAAGCAGTGGCATGCTTCACACAACATACTGTAATACCGCTCCTTTCACTTCTCAGAGATCCCAGTGTGGTAATAATAAGTTTTGTTACAAAAAATGAGTCCCAGGGTCAAAATGGGTGACTTACTAATGGTCAGAATTTTTTTTTTAAACCAAAAAAAGCCATTTAGCTCCTGAATATATTTTACATACCTTTTTTGTTCATAAGTATACAAACTCTTCCATTCAAACATTTGCTCTTTCTAGCTAATAACCTGCACATTCCCTATAATGGAAGTAATAATAAAAATAATACGGTAGGTAAGACATGGCTGTCTGCAAACGTAACGTTGAGGACAGAAAAGCCTCTTCCCTACTGAACAATATGAAGTGTACATTATTCAAGGTAGAGACTGAAACCTCCCATCAACCTGCACCTGTTACACAGCATATATTATATAGACATGTTCACAACACATTCTTGTGCTACTGAGTCGGAGAGACATAAATGTGACATTTCTATATGTATACCAAGACCTCAGTGATCCTCACAGTGATAGTCAAAGGGCATAAAGAAAAAGCAAATATCTGTTTAATAGCCTGCTAGTAAGTCATCGTACTAAAGCATGAGGAGATATCTGAATAAATGAAGCAAAGCGTACTTTATAAATGAGATAGCACTTAAAAACAGAACCCTCACATCACAACCACCTACCTCTAAGAGGTCATTAGGGACATTCAAGATAGTCCTCAGTTTGAAAAACACTCAGCAAAACGATTTCCATTCCTATGCTTTACAGAAAATAAACACACAAGGAAAAGAAAACCCTAGGCTCCATCTTTACCTTAAGTACTACAGGAACGATAAACTGGCTGGAAACTAGACATTGAAAGAAAATACGATAAAAGAAATGAGAAAACATCTAAGGAATGTTTTTTAACACACATCTAAATACATCTAAAAAAAGGAAATCTTTGTTTTCCATTTCCATTCAACACTATTAAGTAGGTCATGGTTGCTGCATTCCTCAGGCCACCATCTCAGAGTGAACTAAACTATTCTCCACTGCCACTGACATGACAAAAAAGGTATCTCTTTCCC